AAGGATGCGAGGCATAAGTGTTCCAAGGTATGTTTCTTCGTCTGTATTCTGAAGTGGTTAGGAGGGTCGTCGGCTAACAACGTAACAGTGTGGAATTCCGTTGGCGACATATCACCGCAGCGGTAGAACTGAGGTTCATTGGCACCAGGCTTATAATGCCTAGGCGATGGCCCGAGCAGGATAGGAGCCTGCAACATATCTAGTCAGGGGCGGTCGTTGGGCTACGAAAGCCGGCGGATAATTTGACCCAGGCTGAGGTGGATGGGCTAGAGCAGTATTCTGGGGGTCGAACCAGTCTGATTATGCGAGGCGTAAAGGATACCCATTCTAGTTTTTTTCTTCTTTAAGAACACGCGTTCGCGCTTGAAGCGGCTGCATTATATTTCATTCAAAGGTTTCCACTTGCTGGCGCTACAGTTTTGCTGTTGTATGCACCCAACCTCTAGAGCTGGGCGCCGAGCGTATGGCCACAGCCGGGATATCGTTGATGGGGCATCATTCTCCATGCAGTTTATCCATACAGTAGTCGTCCACTGTGTATCATCCCTTTCAACATCATATCAAATACTAGTCCTCATCTGAGGCGAGAGCCAAATTGAAAGCCCAGCGAGGACATGTTGCGGGTATCTATTCGATCATGTACAAGCTCTCCTAAAATCTATATCATCAGCGAAGGCATCACGTAATCGTCAGATCGTACGCCGTACTTTTGACCCCTTTTGACGCCTGCCTCCGGTTTGCCCATGCTTCTCGTGTGAATCGTTACGCCATGATCCTGTATTTGCTCCCGTCGCGATTACTCAAGTTGGCGACTCAGCATCCCGTGTACACACGATGTACACACCACGGCGCGAGTCGCCCTCGGCAATCGTCGTGACGTTGTCTTGTGGTGTCATCTGCCCCATATGTCATCTGTCGTCAAATGACCTCATAGTGAGGGTGCTGTTTAGTTGGCGAATATGCGCACATTCAGGTCGACACTTCCCGTTGCGATGACGCAGCGTATTGAGACATCCTGGGGCTTTGCCACCGCTTTGCTCGGTGTGCCGTTGGCACCATTGGCACCCTCGCCGTTGGTGGCCGCCTCCCTTGCAATGCCAGGGGCCCAGCGCAGACAAGAAACAAAGTGGCCGTGGACGTCGTCCAGAACCTTGACGCATTTGCCCTCTTGCGCCAGATCCCAGCATCGCAAAGTCTTGTCATCAGACACACTAAGCAAGTACTTGCCGCCGGGGTGGAAAACCAGCGCGCGTACCCAATTGTCGTGTCCCAGCAGAGTCTTGATGCAGTTTCCACGAGCGTCCCATAACCTGATTGCCTTGTCACGGCTGCCCGTTGCCATGAACTCGGCCGTGTTCGTTGCGGGCGGAGCCTTCTTCAGGCCGGCCAGTGACGCCAAGTGACTGTAAGCCGTCGGCGGTGCGAGCGTGCAGCATTCTACAACGTGCTCGTGTCCAACCAGCATCAACTTGACTTCGGGATTTGAGGCGTTGATATCCCAAAGGCGGCCCGTCTGGTCGTTCCCTGTTGACAAGAGGTAGCGTCCATCCGACGATGGGCAGACGTCTCGTACCCAATCCGCATGCCCGCGCAGTGTCTTGACGCAGTAACCCGTTGACACATCCCAGATTCGTAGGGTCTTATCACGACTCGCCGACACGAGAAGGTTTCCCGTGGCACCTGCGGCTCCCGAAGGAATGAATCGAACCGCACTGACGCTGTGGTCGTGGCCAGGCAACGTCCGAATATTCTTGTACTCGTCTGAGGGGTCCCATAGCTTGATGGTCAAATCACTCGAGCATGAGGCAAGCAGCGTCGCACCGCGGGGCCCTCCAAAATCAACATCCAAGACGGCCTTTGTGTGTCCCTTGATCGTCCTCTCGAGTTCGCCTAGCTCCCAGTCCCAGATTTTGATGGTGTAGTCTTCCGAGCCAGAGGCGAGCGACGAAAAGACGGGGTGAAATGCTACGCAGGTGATCGGGTCGCGGTGGGATTGCAGGGTGTGTCGGGCGGGGGAACGTGGCAGCCAGCTGGTGGGGTCCTGATTCCGTCGAGATAGTGAGGTTGGTGTCGCATTGTCGAGTTCTGATTGCAGAGAAGCACTTCGAGACTCGAGTTCCATGATCTAGAGAGAACAATGTTGGTCAGCGCCGCTGGAAGCAATCATCCAAGGCCATTACGGACGAAACGAACCTTTTTCTGCAGTCGCACTACACTGGTCCATTTCTTCTCCAGCAATCCCTCATACTTCTTCGAAGTGGCGGCATCGAAAGAGTCGCCAATCTGCAATTCTTCTCTGAGGGCATTTGCGGCATTAGGGAGGTTGCTCGAGGAGAGATACGCGATAATGGCCTTGTGCCTGCCACCGGCTGGTCAGTATGTCGCGTCCATGGCCACTCTTTGGGCGAAGAGGGTGGGAACCTACAGCTCCTCTGCTTGCCGAGGGGTGAGGATTTGGCTCATCCTGACAGACGGTGGAAGCTACGTAAGTAACGGATTGCTTGCAAGTAATCACAAAGTTGAGAGGCACTGGTGGCACAAGATGGCACACACGAGCAGATGGAAACGAAAGATGTGTGATTTGGTGGTTTGTTATCGAGGTGCGTCTGCAAGGCGGTGCTCGGGGCTCCGTCTGTCGGTGGTGGTGGTGGTGGTTGTGGTGGTATCGCAGCAACCGCGATGGGCGCGCCACGTGCAATCGGAGGTGGCAGAAGCTGGCCGGAAGTAAAGACGAGGCTGATGGAAATTCGGAGGCGGTCGGGGAGGACAGGAATTGGTAGCCTTGTTAATCGGATATTTTATTGCAGCGACGGCAGGATGCAGAGGTCAGGCAGGTCAGGGTCGAATTGGCGGGGACCAGGGCCAAGTGGCAGATATTCGCGGAGTTGTAAAGGCGGTGTCGGTGTTGTTGGTGTCCAAGCTCTCGATATTCTTTGGCTGTGCAAGGGTGGATAGTTCCTCTCTGTGTGTGTATCTTTCCTTCAGCGGGTGTTTTCAGTCAGGGGTTGGGCTCCCAGGCGTTGGGCAGCATATCTTTGTGCGTTACAACAGCAGATTGCAGGATTGAATCAAGTTGTCTCTTCCAGAGTACGTGGGTATGTCTAGGAGCAGTGACCTTTTGGAGGGGGGACAATATGTCCAAGAATGCGAGGCGAGACGAGACGAGGGGTGCAAGTGCGAGGCTCGGCCAAAAGATGACGCTTGAAGGTGGGCATGAGCCGGAAAGGCGAAATGTTTCATGTGCTTCGGGCTGCGTTGGCTGCGTAGGGAACTCCCTGAAGAATTGGTGGGAGATGAGGCGGTGCGTATGGCACTGGCGGGGGGGCCTCCGATATGCGAGTCCCAGATATTCTGTATGGAGTACGGATACGCTGTATCTGTATAGGCGTATGGGACCCTGGGGAAACTTCTTCGACGACGACGAGTGTTCAATGCGTGTGGCACTCACTGGTAGAGGGAAAAGATGGGAGAGAAGAGGTCAACCCTGTTTGGTGGGGTGGAATGAAGTGTGGCTGGTGCAGCGAATGGGCACTAATGGGGCTTGAGAGATGGTAGTGTGGCTGGTGCCTTGCCAGCTGGGCTGTAAGTCTGGCAGCTGGTCTCTTTCAGGCACTGTGGAGGGCTGAAGTTGTACGTCCCTCTTTCCCCCAATGACATCACAGTGTTGGACCGTTTCTATGGCAATAGACAAAGCTTTCATTGGCCTGAGATTCTTCAGCGTCAACATGTGGTTCAGCCACTTTTGCAGCTGTCACAGCCAACCAGCCGTAACAGTCTATTCGGTCAATTGATTCTTTGGCAAAAAGACATTTTCAGCATCATTGCTCGAATATCAGGGGGCAAACTACTACACTACCGTGCAAGCCTCAGGGTGGAAATGCCTGATTCATGGCATGATTTGCTATCTTTAAATGAGTGGATATGTTAGAGTGGCTTATAACGGCCATTAATGCGCAAATTGAGCAAGCGCATCTTTGGTGCTTGGGCCTGGAAGCAGAGAGGAAAAAGGAAGCAATTTGGTTAGATGGCCGGCCCTGGCTTTCATGACTAAGGCTCTGAGGGAACAAGCACACGAGGTAAGCCCAAGGTAAGCCCGAGGTGAAGGCAGGTGAAGGTAGGTGAATAGCCAATGCCCCGCCATCCATGCTATCAAATCTTATCGAGTGGTGGAGAATTGAAAGTCATCATGTGATCTGTGTTGACCCTGGAGACCAGCGACCCAATCATATTCATGCCCAATTGCCCGATGCGCGCCCATCTGCTGTGTCCCCCCCACACACAAACACGTCAGGCCAGGAACAGGGAGAAAAGGGCGCCCAATGCAGGCGCCCACCAACTGGCAACCCTGACAGAAGCCTTGAGGTGAACGGTGAACCAAATCCAAGCAAAGCACCTGCTGGGCCCGTCCCCTCCGCCCTTGTCCCGACAACCAAAATTCCCTGTGCTCTTCGGACCAGCACAAACAAAAGAAACCCCAGCCGTACTTTTCCTCCACATTCCATAACCCTCAGACTGGCGACGTTGGCTTTGTACCTTCACCTGCAACAACCACACTACGGGAACTACCTCTAGCCTCCTTTTCTCTGTCTTCTCAAAGACCTGATTTGACTTCCTCCAGTCCCGGTCCCTTGTTTCCACGAGAACCATCACCGCACATACCTCACAACTCTCTGTTTCTCCATACCTATTGCTATTCCTATACTGCTAGGAACCTTCCTCGCAATCTCCAATACCTCGAAGGATACTTTCACAGCTCCCACCCGCCTCGCTCACTGCCAGGTACCTTGCCAATCCCACATTGGCTTGACGATCAACAAGTCTTTGGCTGCTGCGACAACCTCAAACTCACCTGATCTGGTTCAGCTTGGCCATCATTCTGTAAGTCATGCCAGCCTCTTGCGCCCATATCACCACAGACATCGCCAGTCACTGCGCCTGCAGCTGCCGGCAGCCTGCATACCATTGCGTTCTGCAGCTTGCGACTGTCCTCCTTCCTCAATATGGACCGTCATCTCAAACATACTCGTTCCCTCTCGAGGCTAATCAGACGTGTAGCTAGCTTCAGAAAGCCAGACATCCACGACAAGGAGAACTGCTCCCCCGATTCAGCTCTTCTTCCTCCTCCTCCTACTCCAACCCCTCCACCACCCAAACCGGCCCCTACTACACCCCGCCAGCAAGCCTCCATTCCGATGGCTGAAGAAGAAGACTTTAGCTCCCTTCCCCTCCAGGATAGGTTTACCCACAAGGTATGACGTTGCCGCCTCTGCTGCGCCGTGTTTGATGCGCTGACGCGCCGCAGGTTTGGAAAGTCAGAAAACAGGCCTATGAAGACGCCGCAAAAGCCTTCGCTGCTACTGCCGACGAGTACGACAATGCCTTCAGACCCTTCCTCTCCGACTCGGGCCTCTGGAAAGGCGCCGTCGCCGATTCCAACGTTGCTGCCCAACAAGATGGTCTGGCGGCGTACTGCGCGTTTCTCAAATTCGGAGGAAAGGAACACTGCACAAGGACGCGCGGAACTACGATAGGGCCTATCTGTGAAAAGGGTTTGCCGTCAACGCGTGCCGCTGCCAAGGAGTCATCTCTCGAAGCCCTTCTACTACTCGTCGAACTCGATGTTGCCGCCCCAGTCATCGAAGAGATTATCCCGGCGCTTGCCAACAAGCAACCAAAGGTTGTCGCAGCGGCTATTACCGCCCTGACCGCAATTTACCACAACTTCGGATGCAAGACCGTCGACCCCAAGCCCGTGTTGAAGGTCCTCCCCAAGGCATTTGGTCATGCCGACAAGAATGTCCGTGCTGCCGCGACGAACCTTGCCGTCGAATTCTACCGATGGCTGCGCGAAGCCATGAAGCCCATGTTCTGGGGCGACTTGAAACCCACTCAGCAGACCGACCTCGAGGCGCAATTCGAAAAGATCAAGGCCGAGCCAGCTCCGAAGCAAGAACGATTCTTGCGCTCACAACAAGCCGCCATGGCACGTGCGCCCCCACCCGGAGCCGACGACGAGTACGATGATGGTGGAGACTATGGCGAGGAACCAGCCGAGATGGACGCCTTCGACCTGGCGGAACCCCAGGATGTCTTTGGCAAGATCCCCGCCAACTTTAACGAAGCCTTGGCCTCGTCCAAATGGAAGGAGAGAAAGGAAGCAGTGGAAGGTCTCTACGCGGCAATCAACGTGCCAAGAATCAAGGATGGCGACTTCAACGAGATCAACCGAGGGCTGGCAAAGTGCATGAAGGACGCCAACGTTGCTGTTGTGACTCAAGCCGCGCAGTGTATCGAGGTCTTGGCCAAGGGATTGCGGCAAGGCTACGCAAAACACCGCACTACTGTGATGCAACCCATCATGGAACGCTTGAAGGAGAAGAAGGCAACGGTGGCAGATGCTCTCGGCGCTGCGCTTGACCAAGTCTTCCTGGCTACAAGTCTGACTGACTGTCTTGAGGACATCAATACCTACCTCGTCCACAAGAACCCCCAGATCAAGGAGGGCACTATGAAGTTCTTGATTCGTTGCCTCAGAACGACACGCGATGTGCCGAGCAAGCCCGAGATCGCGTCCATTGTCGAGGCAGGCAAGAAACTGTTGACCGAGTCCAGCGAGGGCCTCCGTTCAGGCGGTGCTGAGATTTTGGGCACTGTCATGAAGATCATTGGCGAGCGCGGTATGGGTCCGCACATGGAAGGCCTAGATGATATCCGCAAGACGAAAATCAAAGAATTCTTCGAGACGGCTGAAGTCAAGGCAAAGGAGAAGCCGAAGGCACCCCCGCCAGCTGCCAAGGCACCGCCCCCGAAGAAGGTCGTCGGAGGGAAGAAGCCCCTGGGCATGAAGAGACCGGCCATGCCGGCGGCAAGCGCTCCGCCGCCCGCCGACCCGGAACCCCTCTCCCCACAAGCTTCATCTCGTCCCAAACCCGCAGGCACCAAGATGGGCATGCCGAAGCCGTCGGGCTTGGCCGGCCTCAAATCCAAGCGCCCTCTCGGTGCACCAGCGGCGGCCGGATCCCCTCGACGCCCTGCTGCCGCACCAATTATGCCCGACGATGATGAGCCTGCTCCTCCCCCGCCTCAGCCTCGCATTGGCCTTGGCAGAGGTGGTCTTGCAGGACGATCTCTTGCGAAACCTGCTGCCGCTCCTGTTCAGATGCCTCCTGCATCGCCGCCGCCTTCCAGCGGACTCACGGCAATGGAGCGGGCTGAACTCGAAGAACTCAGATCGGCAAACGAGCGCCTGACACGCCAAGTGGAGGAAATGAGGCATGAAAGGAGCAAGTACATGTCTGAGATTCAAGAGTTGAAGAACCAAAATGCGGGTTTGATTGAAGACCATACCCGTGATGTCCTCAGCATCAAGGCCAAGGAGACGCAGTTGGTTCGTGCAAGAAGTGATGCAGAGGCCACGGAGTCGACGAACGATCGCCTCAGACGGGAGCTGGATCGCCTTAAGAGAGCGCTCAACCACGCCGAGGCCCTGAACTCAAGGACAGGCATGGGCAGCCCAGGTAAGATAGCAGCTTCTTCTTTCAGTGAGTGTTCATGTACTGATGTAATCGCAGGTCTTGCTTCGCCTACGCACGACGACGCCGGTATCTACCGCGACGCATCCTACGGTTCATCTTCTGCTCGACACAACCGTGTTAGTTACGCCAGCAACATGTCTGAGGAGAAGGAGAACGGAGACCATCACTACCCTCGCTCAAAGGCACTCAGTCCCGAGCTTAGGTATACGGGCAGTGCATCTTCCGGACGTGGCAGCCCTGCTAGAGGCTACAGGAGTTCTGCGGCCACCCCCGTTGATGATATACCGGCACCGTCATACTCGTCTGGCGGCGGCGGTGGAGGCGGTGGCATGAACTCGAATAACAACGGTGTGGAAAGCTGGAAGCGTGCAGCTGAAGTGACCAGCCAACTGAAAGCCAGGATTGAACAAATGAAGGTCAGTTGTCATCTTGATCTGGTATAATCTGTTTCCCATCACTAACAATTCTTAGGCGAAACAAGGATTTGCCCGTCCTTGAGCTCGACCGCCGAACCACCCGGTGCCAGATGGCCCGCTGGATACTGACGTGAACATGAAGAGGGGTTTTGTTTGGGGTCCGTAATGGTCACGGTTCAAAGGGGGGAAATCCTGCGTGTTCTTGGTTGCATATCACTGGCGTCGGAAGCATACCCCATACCTCATCTCCGGCCTGCAGTTGGGATAGGTAATTTTCGTCTGTATGAGTTATGCATTTTCACCTCTATTGTCGGCTCGCTTGTATAACCTCGAGGGGCGCGAGTGTACTTAATTAACGATGATTATGAATAAGAGTTTGCGATACCAGTCACCATGGAGGCATGATACCCTTGGCAGTTGCGAGCGTGTCATTACCGATCTCATCGCACCGTTAACATCGTACTTAGCTACGAAGGTAAGGATTGTATCAGCGGTAGTTGACTAGAAACCTGTCACTTATTTTCATCCAGTTCTCCAATGCGCCCAAAATTAAAACCACCCTCCAAACCGCGGATCGCAGGACGATATACCATCCAAGCTTAAGGTACACAAATAACTTGCTGACCAAGCCAATAAACACAGGAAGAAGCGAATGTTGCGTAGTAGCCGAGAAATCCAAGTCGAGACAGCCCCCAACCAAGCCTGACTATCCCAACCCGACTCCTCAAGCTAACATGAAGCCGCACCCTTAGAATCGAATAAAATGCCGAAACCACCCACCCGTACTATAATCAAGCATGAACTTTGGAATGTACTTGGGTTTCGGTTCCATGTCCTTCACAGCCTCACTCTCTCCCTTCCCCGTCTCCCTCTGCGCCTCCTCCACCTTGGCACTCTTCCCACCAACAGGCATCGTATGAACCGAAGGCCTCATAATGTGAACGTTCACCTCGACCGGATCAACCTGAATGTGCGAGCGTTTCTCTTTCGCGATATTGATCCGTCCATCATGTTCCTCGAGAAGCACGTCTCGACGTTTTGTGAGGAGAGACGAGGTGAACTGTGACGATGACTTGATCCTGCTGATGACGCGGACGGGATCGACGCGTAGGGCGGAGAGGTCGACGTTGTCTACGCCGATTTTGCCCGTGTGGATGCCGAGGTCGTGGGGGGGTTGTGTGTCCGGGGTTGGGGCGAAGACTTTGTTGTCTTTTGCGGTTGGGAGGGCGAGGGTTGTTGGGAGGAGGAGGGTGAGGAGAGATGTTGTTAGATGCATTGTTTTGTGGTGTTTTAGTTGTGTGGTTGTTATGATGATGGCTTCAGAGTCGAGTGACAATGACAACTGTTGCGGTGTCTTGGACTTGGATGGCGAGGCGGTGGGGAGGTTCCAGAGTCTGGGGACTTATACCGCCCACCGAAGACGAAAGAAGCTTTTCTCCATGCTTCCACCGGCCGCATCAAAGTTGGGATCGGGAAAAAGAGGGGATCGCAACAACAGTCCAAACAACTTGCACCTGTGCGGTGTGGTGCGGGCGTGCCGCGTGCGTTACGTGCGGGCCACAACGGTGTCAAGTGTCATTGATTGCCAGTTTTGACACCTTCTGGCTGCAGACTGCCGGGGAAAGGTTAGTCGGTAATTTCAAGAGGTGTACATCCTGCACAGTAAGGTAGTGAGTGTCTTCTCGAAGGCCGGGGGCCGTGGGCTCAAGAGAGGGGTTTGCGAAAGGTTCTTGACGGTTGCCTGGGGATTTAGGTGAGGTCATCGTGTGGCGGGAACATCAGACCAACTTTCGAACTCATGTGTGTGGTTTCGGAGCGTTGAGCGTGTTGGAAGGTTTTGGAAGTCGGTGGGGGTTCCCTTACTTTAGTTGTCGGTGGACTGTTTGACTGTGTCATTGTGTGAGGAGGGAGGGGCTTTGACGTTAGGAAGTCCGGGTGAGAAAGCTTGGTTCGGGATGCCGAGAGGGGGCACCGGATTCACGGCCCCGCCTGATGCGGGCGATAAGTTGCGAGCCGACGTTGATTCGCGCTCCTAGTTTACTACAGTTAGTTGCACTTGACCAAGCTTTCAGCCTCAAATGCTTGATCCTCAGTTGTGGCTAAAAATCTCCCCTTTCCCTTGTTGCTACGACGAAACTCTGGCGCAAGCCTGGTTATTGAGTTGGCCGATTGGACTTTTCAAAGCAATCAAAACAGTCGTCACCGTATCTCGAAAAAGACTTCATCCCAAAAAATACAATTAATATCCTATTATAACAAATTTGATCTCCGGACAATGCTAGCTGGTTGCTCTGAGTGTTCTGGTGATATTTACATATGTAGCAGTAGCTCATAAGGCCTTTCTGAGCCCACTGCCGTTTAAACAGTGGTACGACCGAGAAAGATGTCACTTTAACGAAAGTGAGAATCATCAACAGTGTGAACTCCATCACGGTCATATGCGTTCGCGATCCTCAAAGGCTGAGGTGTGGCGGTGTAGTTGCTAATGAAAGTTAGTTGCTAATGAAAGTTACATTGCTTTTTGCAAATCATCACAAGGCTTTTTCCGCAGATGTGGTTCGCCAGTATGCAGCCTTCAAGGCGCCCACCTAGGCCTAGCTGCTAGTTCCAGCATAATGAGCCAGTAATGGATGTCCGCGAAATTGACCAAAATGCTGACCTGCAAGTCTGCCTTGTTATCTTGCTAGGGGTAAGCGCGCCTAAGCCTCCATCTCCCCTGGCGCCAGGCACATCCAACAAGGATGATACAGAGCTGAGAGGCTCGTAAACCGCACATGCGATTTGGTAGCCTCGACCCGCAGAAGTAGTTTCGCCTGGGGAAAGGGGGGGGGGGTTTCTTTCTTGTAAATTCTAGTGACCAGTACCTCCTTTTTGGGTATCCCATGACTGCATCACTTCTTCCAAACTTCTTCCTCCAGAGCCGCTCCCGTCTTTCAGATATCATCTGCCAATCAGAGTAACCACCAACATGGCCGATCCTCTCAGCATCGCTGGCTCGGTAGCCGGATTGTTGGCCACCGCGGTCAAAGTGTACAACACCACCTACAATTTCGTCTCCAGCGCCATCGATGCCCCCGAGTCTGCGATGCAAATGTTTCAACTCATTGAAGAGACGATGATGACTCTGTCTTCCGTCCATAAGCTCCTTCGTTCCCTCGACAGCTTCTCCAGTTCCCGCAAAAACATGATTCAGCTCGATCACCTTTCCATCGTCATCACACACTCGGTCTTGACCCTTTCGAAACTCGAATCCATCGTCTGCCAGCAGAATGGGTTGCGGTCACAGATGAGATGGGCGCTGTGGCACGAAAAGAAGATCCTGGCTCTTCTTCCCCGGTTGGAGTCTCAGAAATCAACATTGGCTGTAATGATCACAATCCTAAATAGGTGAGTAGCAGGTAGTCAGAGGTACTAGGTATTCTAATATTGATTCATCCTGTCATAGCGAGACCCAAGAAGAAGGGATTCGCTCTCAAGCCACTATGTTGGCCAAAGTGGACGAAATTCTTGAGCAAAACCGAACATTGGCCGAACATTTGAAGCTTCTTGACAGCGAAGCATCGTGGGACACGAGGTCTGTCAAGTTCATGAACGATGCGTCCTCAATAATGAGTAGAACTGGATCTACACAAGGTGTTATCTACAGATCCCCTTCATCCGTCCTTCAGAGGCCACAACCTTTGGACGGATCAACGATCATGACGCTATCAAGAAGAAATTTCGAGCTCGACCTGGGCCAATCGAGGGTTTATAAACGGACCCAAGACCGCGAAACAGACAGATCCTCATTCACAACATCGAACGCCCCCACAAGTGCTTGGAGCATGCTCTCAGGTCTCAGCATCGGCGACATTTCCATTGTGTCGGCGTTTAGATTGCCAATCACCCTCAAGGAGATCAACAAGATTGCACCAGGGTCAATATTTTCAGGTCTTTTGATGGACCATCAATCCATGGAGGACCAGACTCGACCCGAAGGATCGGAGCGCAGTGACTCACGGTCTCGAGCTCTGAGCAAGGGCGAAAAATCGGCGGGAACATTAGCTTTCAAATCTGATGATTCTGATGACGTCGCGTACAGAGAGCCCGATATCCAACATGAAGGATTGAAAAGTTTCACGTGAGTACTTGGTCTTCTCTCCAAATCGGCTTTATACTGAGCAATTTAGCATCATGATAGTCGGAAACTCCAAAGCGCTCAAGAGTGAGATGATCAATACTTTCATCAACCCAAACAAATGGTCTGAATCATCATCCGAAAAAGATGTACAAATCCCAAAGCGTGCTCACTATTCTCGGAACACAGTACGGTACGTGTCTCTGGCAACACCAAAATTCTTGTCTGTCAAAACGATCCATGAATTACGTGTTGACATATGCAGTGTGCCCGTTAAATATTTGGGGTTTGAAAGAAGCCAATTATTTGGTCTTGAAATACGCGACACGACAGGATTAGAGAATGATCGCTCTCTCCGGCGACAGGCATACGAATATGCGGACGTATTCTTGATTCTCATAAATGTGGAAGATGTGGTGGGGGTCGAGATCCAACACTTGGCGAACGAGGTCTCCAGAGTCCGGCCGCGCACCCCTTTTCTTCTGGTTGGGACGTCTCAGGGTCCTGGAACAACGCATGGCGTCGTGAAGCTGGAACGTATAGCAAAATCTTTTTTTCATTCAAGAAAGGAATTGGTCTTCTGTAATGTGCTACACCCGATGAGCGTTGGAAGAGTGTTCGCACAGGTAGGTTTCACGTCAGGGCCCTCATTTTCATGATATATAAAGTAGTGCTAATGAAGTTCTACGCAGGCTATCAAAGCCGCAAGGGATAGGTTTATGAGAGACCAATTTGAATTACTGATGCTTGAGCACTAAGTTCATAGGCCGTTATTGGTTAAAATAGATTAAGTGTGTATTATAATTGAAGGGCCTCACAGAATCGAGATACCAGACCTAGTAGCATATTTGAATTAGGTGGCTTCCACCGAAGGCTATTGACAATAAGAACTTTCTTTGATCATATTATCGCTTTTGATTTGCGCTGTTTGCTTTCTTTCAAAACTCCACTTTCACTGGAAAGGCTATCCATCTCAACGTCAAACTGTGAGTATCTGCTACGCGGCCCTCGAGAAATACTAGCGTGTGTGCTTTCCTTCACTCTCGACCCTTCCGAGGCAATGAGTCTCGGTGCCATTGCCCGAAAGAATCTGCGTAGGGTAGGCATTGATCCGCATATGATGAATAGATTCACCTCGACGAAACTTCAAGCGGGAAGTCGTTAGTAACAAGCTAGACATATGGAGGGCTTTGGGGGTCTTTGGAGGTAGATGGGATTGAGGACTTACGACCAGACATTCGCGGGGGCTGCTACCCATGGAATATCGTTGGATGAAAGAAGTGACTGTAAGTAAACCATGCGGACGACAGATGTTGTGACAGTTCTGGGCAGGGATTCAGTATACATCTCCTTGGAAGGCTGGAATGTGGTACTCATACATGGATCCAATGCCAAACATGAGCACGGCTCCGACTTTGACAGCCGGCCGCATCTGCAAACGAAGGACCATGGGAATTGGTATGATGAAAAGGACAACGTCAGAAACAATGTTGGAAACGGCGATGGCCATGTAAAGTACTGCTGAGTTTAGACATGTTCCGGAGGTGTACGGGTCCCAGTTTGTGCGAATCGGTTGGCAGTGGAAAAGGAGAAGTGATGCGATGATGACAGTGTATGCAGCAACCATCGTAATGGCTGTCAGGATCGCGTTTCGGTACCATCTTTGTGGTGAAATATTGAGATAGGCGGTCAGAAGCGAGGTTTTCGTCAAGCCGTTGCAGGTGATAAACACAGGGGCAACAATATAAGAGCTCTGTAGACACATGTCAGCATTGAAGGCAAATTGACGTCGACAGCATCCATTATGACATCGACCGGAACGCTCACTAGCATATGCTTCTCGTATATCTGTATGGACATCTCGAAGGCGTGGTGACCCAAACCCCCTATTGATATAGACCCTGAAGTACGATGTCAGTGTCTTGATCGAGCCCCGAGAACCTGAAGGTATAGCATCTTACATATCTGTACCGACTGCATGACAATAGAACAAACCTTGAGAGAATCAGTTTCCTTCGGGTTCAGATAGCGGTACCTATATCAGATGTTTACCCATGCGAAGAATATTAGAACTGTGGGGAATGAACGTCAATAACAGCATGGCTGTGTGATGCCAAGTCACTCACAATCGTCGATCTTTGGGCCATCGGATAGACGGAACTTCGTGTAGAATCTCTGGATCAGAGTCAAGAATGCCAAGGGCCCCAAGATTCCAAACACCAGGTAATGTTCGAGCACTTTTTGTTGTTGCGGATGCTCAAAGTCTACCAAGTAGCCCTCGGGGGCCTTGATGACAGTTGTGGTGCCATTAGTGATCGGAAACTCGGCCATGAGAATGACTAAGTGTTGACGGTCCTCAGAAGGCCAAGGGAAGAGAAGATGGAAAATCAGAAAAGACAGACTGGCGACAAATTCATCCCTGCATACTATGCGAACAAACAGCTGCGACCCTCAATATTTAAACATGTGCACATTCCATCCTCTGATCTGCTTGAGCTCTTTTTTCATTGTGCTAACCTTATCACGGAAAATGACGAGGATTTGCTCTTTGAATCATATTAAACATGACTGATGCGACTGGAAAAGACTCTGAGGCGGGCTGAGCTATCACATTCCCGTTTTCTGTCAACCAACACGAGCACCGGCCCTGGCCTGGAGAACTGCATGGGCCCTGGCTTTCGGATGGACCTTGGCCTGCACTCTCACACAACAGATGGCCAAGAAACGCAGGACAGGGCTGCCTACATGCAGCAAATTTCGCCAATGTGAGTTGAACATCCGGACCGATCTGATACCTGGTTACTCAAACCCTTGCGTTCTCAACCGGAATGGATCGAATGACCGTCCTGTGAGAGCATGAGTAGCACAGTTGGTAGATTCTGGGCCGCGAGTCTAGACGGTCTATCAATCAACCGCGAGAACCGAACCATGAGATACTCATCATGCAAACGACGCAAACAATAGCAACCCTTGAAAACCAATCTTAATGGAGCATGGTGTTGTGAACAATATTGGATTCTGACAACCTGAACTGGAGCCCCGGCCAGGAACCCACCCAAGATCGAAAGACATAAAGGCTCAGATCCATTCCATTCTTTCTTTCTGAAACCCCAGGAGACACAAATCAAGTCCAGGTACCCGGGCACCTCTTCATCCTTTCTCACTCTCATCTTCAACCTAATATCAGCCAAGATGGTCCGCCTCTCCGTCCCGCTCACCATCGCAGCCACCCTGATCGCCAGCGGCATGGCCGCATGCTCAAACACTGGGCAGGCTCAGATGGTCACCTACGTCAAGCGAGCGACCAACCTGACCCAGGAGCAATTCTGGGACTACTGGCAGACCCAGCACGCCCCCAAGGTCGCCCCCTTGGCTGTGCACTTCAACATCACGCGTTACCAGCAGGTTTGTAAATTGTAGCCTTGGCTTTTGCATTGCTGCGAGCCGGCAATGAGCATCGACTGATTCTGTCATAGATCCAAGTCGGGGGCCAGATTCTTCCCACCGAGGCAGGTTCAACCGTGCCGGCATCCACCGTCCCCGTTGACTTTGACGGCATTGCTATGTTTCTGTACAAGTCTCCCGCGGTCCTCACAGCAATGCTTTCTCACCCTTACTACCTTGCTGTTGTTGAGCCTGACGAACATGTCTTCATCGACAAGGGTGCTTTTGGTAACGGCATGGTCGCAACATTTGTTGGTACCGACATCGAGATCGTTGATGGGAAGCAGGATGTGTGGGTAGGAAGTCAGGCTACGCGGGAAAAGTTCCAGAAAATCTTTGAGTCGTACCTGTAGGGCCTGGGTGGAAATCCACCAGTTGTCTCAACTTAGATTCGGCATGAGAGAGGAACCTGCCGTATAGAGTAATTTTACCGGAGACCCAAGTACATGTAATAATCCAGTAGATGTGTTGGTTCTTCAATCTTGGTATATCACTTGGCCGCGTGTCATCCGCAAGTGTACTTCCCGCTCATGTGCATCTTGCTCGTTGGCAATGTGTTGCTAATTCCTCTCTCTTCTCTTTGATGAGAAATGACTTGTAGGATCTTGGCGATAGTGGCAACAAGGCTCCCGGCAGCTTTGCGGAATATGTTCTGGACTGGGAGAATATGCTGTTGGTTGTTGTTAAATCAAAGCATCAAATATGACGGGTCATATGCGGTCGAAGTTATATCCCACTTTACCGTCATACCCCCGGGCGGAAGTGGATCCGCGGCGACGGAGGCCATATCCGTCTCTCCGGTTGGGCTCTTCAGCAAGGGTCGTGGTGATCAAGGCCAATTCCAACACTGCGTGTAAGAGCAAATGGAGTCTGCAAGGGGTCCTCTCGGAAAGTCTTTCCGCTTGGGATGGTGAAGGGTGTGGAGTGTCTTTCGATTCTGCATGCGGACAAGGACCACGTAAACCCTGGCAGACCGTTTTCTGTTGGAACCGGGGGCATTCTATTTCACCAGCCTTTTGAACCGGGGACCACCAATGTCTGCTCATAAACACGGATACATTCCGTATGATTACTGAGCAAAGAAAAAAGGAAGAAAGAAAGAACAAGTTTCGGACAGAATAAACAAGAGCATCAACCAAGTTAGAGATATGTAGCCGTCTGGCAAAAGAACAACCCCAAGAACACAGATACGAGAAAAGAGGAGGCTCGCCGGTATGCGAGCAGCAGATGACTAGGGTCCATGCACGTCCATCTAGTACCTATCTGTAGTGAAATTTGTGCTTGAACAAGGAGGCATTGCTTACAACAAGGTACTTGCATGTAAGGAGTGTTCCGATGGCTCCAATCACTGTCAAATAGAGGAAAGAGGATGTGTATGTATGTACGAACCTTGCAGATTGGATATCAACTGACTGAAAGATGATCACACCATTCTCTTTACCTACTTGGCTGATAAATAAACCCAGTGACTGGCCCATCTCATATTATGCTGCTGATTCAGAAGCTCGCGATGCATTATGGCAGGGTACCGGCTCCTAAAGGATCTTTGGTGCTCGTCTGGTTTCTTCGCAGACCATGAACATAATACTCAGTTCTTTGGGAAGCCTGTCACCCTGTGTACTGGAAGCGAGAACAATGTCACAATGTGATCTGCTATAGCCTATAAGTGGAAAACGCAGCAGTATGGGCAGCTTTGAGTTGCTGCAAAATGACCCTTTCGGATCTACTCGTCTAAAAGAAGGAAGATGTACTATGTTCGAATCTAGTAGGTACATGATAACCGCAGTCTAAGTATCATCAGAAATGCATGCATGCTCGCGATCCAGCCCTCTTCATCAATATCTTCGAAGTCCTACCTCCATCTCCAGAGCCGGTGCTGAACTTGCATGCTCAGATACGCCAGAACACCCATCAGAGAGGAGACTGAATGACCGGGTACTTGGGAAATGCAGGTGCGTAGACCTGAAATGTGATCAGTAAGATGTCTCATACAGGAAGTAAGATATTGCAGGATACGTACCGACTTGCAGCGAGCATTGAAATCGCCGGTTGACCCCTGAATGGCAGACAACTCGTCTCCAGGGACTCCGAGCTTGACCAAAGGCCCAGACTGAGGTGACCCCTTGGCCCATCCAGGCCCGGCAGCCGGGTTCTTGATCCAGTCCACGAACCAACCATGGATGGAATCAGCCAGCGCCTGCTGTGCCTCAGTTACGCCCGTAAGTGAATCGAAGCACTCGTTGCCTCCATGGAAGAAGGGCACCTCGGTTCCGTGTGTGGGTGCCGTGCCCGGAACCCCAAGCACGTTGTCGTAAGCTCCGAAGAATCTGTAGACCCAGGTATCTTGCTTGGCACTGCGCAGGTCAAGCAAATAGTCGACGGCGCAGTTGAAACGGGCGTCGCCATACTGGGTTCCACTTCTGAGGGACTCTGTCTCATAATCAGAAGCATTGTACGCTGCTAATAGGACGTCGTCTTCAATGTGTGCACTATCCGCATCGAAAGTGTTGATCCAAGAGCTGAAGTTGCTGTTTTCGGCGCCATACACCAGGCTGAAGATGGTGCCCTCACCATCAGAAGTTCCCGTAAGGAGGGGCACGTGTGATGCATACTGGCCGGCCGCAAACCTTGCAGCATAATCAGAGTGCCTTGTGACGTTATCAATGACGGGAGTGAACCATGTGTTGAAGGTCGAGTTGAAGTCAGCTGTCTGGAAAGCGTACGAGTCGACACTGCGCAGGCACTCGACTTGGTTATCCCCCGCCTTCGGACAGCCAACCTCAGCCGCTACGGTGTCGAGTCCTTGGTTGGCTGGTGCATATGCTGGCCCAGACATGGCATTCGCACTCATCTGCACTGCTCCCTTGAGCCACGAATCTGGGTGGTTCCAGAGGTAGTGATCGACCTGCACGGCTCCGGACGAATGACCACCAAATACAACATGATCGGGATTGCCTCCGAACGCATGGATGTTATCACGGACCCATTCAAGTGCCTTTTCGACGTCCAGAATACTGAAGTTTTGTGATTCCTCGGGAGACGTCTCGCTGAGCTCCGACGAGTGCGGCGAGGCATAGATACTCTCGCGGGTGTTGAAGTTGACGTATATCACACCGTTGCGGGCAAAGTTGGACCCTTGAAGTTGAGGATTGCTGCTGGAACCAGTGACCATCGCGCCTCCATACATGTACACAAACACAGGCAAGTTCTCACCCGTCGAGGGTGCCCAGATGTTGAGGTTGAGGCAATCCTCATCTTGCTGGCTGTAGAGAGTGCCAGAAATTGCTTGAGGGCAAGTAGGACCATAGGAGGTTGCGATCACCGTCGCGTTGGACTTTGGCACATCTTGCGGCGCTCTCCATCGGTTTTCGCCAGCTGTTGTGGCAGCAAATGGGATGCCCAGGAACACCGAGTTACAACTTGCGTCACGGTACCCCTTGACTAGACCTTGGGATGTGCGGGCGTGAGGCGCATATTGAGTTGCGTTGCTACAAGTGCTTGCCAGGACTGAGGGCAACAGGCCAGAGAGCACCATGGCAAGGACCGCCAGTGATGGCGACATGTCGTTGAAGTGCATGCTGTGTCGATGGGTCAATAACTTCAAGATGCAGAGAACGTGAAAACCATGTTGACAGGATGGGATTTCCGGAAGAAAAGGAGATGGCTATCCAGCACCGATTTCTTCAAGGTGGATATCAATTACAAAATACGACCTCAAGGCCTTGTCAACCCCACTGAAGACCGTTCTGGATTAGCCCATTGCAACGGATTTTCAGTGATGTTGCAACGATCCTCTCGGGAAACGGCCCCAGACACATTTATGCTTCTTTTCAAAGTTTGGATGATCTTCTCTTCCCCAGATGCTGATTGTCCCTGTTCCCAGAAGAGTATTTGTCAATAGGGTTGATGATAAGAAGTTGCAGATTCCAAGCATCCTCATGTTCAACTGAATTGAGGGTGCAGGGATTTGACGAGGTTACGTAAATAGCCATAAGCACCGTCAGCAACCCCCCTGGCATAGCGGATAACTTGCCAAAAAGGGGAGAGAAGAGCGAAGAAAAACACGACTGAGGTATCGAAAACCTTTCCAGCTCACGGACTTGAAAACCCGGTGTCTCTCGGCCTTCTCAAGCAGCCAAAGGTCTCCCCTTAGTCGCTCTCATATTGCGGCGAGTACCTGTCATTTTTCTCCCTTTTGATAGACAGTGATTACAACTCATCTTTCTCGTTTCTGGGCGGATCAAAAGTCTTCTTCTTCGTCATGCCAGCCAGGATGTCGACAATCAAGTCAGCGGCGGCGACGGAAGTTGTCTCGGCCACAGAGTCATAGGGCGGGCTAACTTCAACAACATCAGCACCGACCAGGTTGAGTCCTTCAAGACCCTTAAGGAATCGCTTCAATTCTCTTGTTGTCCAGCCGCCTGACTCTGGCGTTCCAGTAGCTGGGGCAATGCTTGGATCGAGGACTACGGCCTTGTTAGTTAAACATTCGTCATGATGGGGCGGTCCCAACTTGCCATCAATGTCGATGGAAAGATACACTGGCGTATTGCCAACTGCGTCTCTGACTTTCTTGACGATGCCACTCATGCCAATATCGTCAATCTCATGAGCTTCAATTATGGTGAATCCGACAACATCTCTGTCGATTTCATAGTCTTTCGGGCTCTGCATCACGTCAGATAAGTTGATCATCGTAAAACTAATATGAGTCGCTACTCACGAAGAGCTTGGTCCTCAGACCGCCATGAACACTGGTGCCCTTGCTGATGCACCCTTCTCGGCTCGCATGCCAGAAGAAGGTTCCATGGGTGATGGCAGACTGATTCGAAACGATTCCCGTATAGCCTTCATAAGGATCCCATCTGCGCATGAGTGTTTTTAGTGGCTGATGACTTAAGTCAGTAGCGCTGAATGTGAGGAGTCTTACGTGTCAAGGTGCGAATCGAGATGAATGACGGAGATGGGACCATAAACTGTCTTCAGACTGCGAAGAATTGGCAAGACTATAGAGTGATCTCCTCCAAGGCTGATGATGCGGGGATGTTCCCATTCATCTAGAATGTAGGTTAGCGGTTGTGACTACTTTGCATGTCTGTTGTTGCCAACATCAGTGGACTTACTCTGATCGGTGGTCGGATGATAGAGAATCTGTCGATACGCCTGTTCCATCTGCTTGAACGCATGGCTGGCATCAAATGGCGTGATGGGCACGTCTCCACAGTCAATCTTTCACCACGGCAATGTGTTAGTGCTACGTGATCCATGAAGATGTTCAATCAGATAAGCTCTCACAATCTCCAGCCCCTGCTCGTAGGGGTCAACCTCCCACACGGTGTTGTAACTACGCCCTTTCTTCTCCCTGGACGACCCAGCCCGAATACCTCTCGGGCCGAAGCGAGCGCCTGGACGGTAGGAAGTAGAGGTGTCATAAGGGAAGCCCAGAACGGCAATGTCTAGAGGCTAGCCTCGGGGTCAGATGAAACCTCACATGGCTTTTGAGCTGCAGGTAATATACCTTATTATGCGACTCCGCTAAACAACGTTGCCATTCCAAGTGCGCAAATGTCACAGGCTGGGAAAACGGCAGATCTTTGTCCAGATCTGGGGAGAAGCTTAGCTGAGAACCTTGCAAACAACCGCTAAGACAGCTGAACATACCTTCAAGGGGATATTGATAGTTCGGGCCAACATTTAGGGCAGCTGCAAGGTCAGCACCCGCGCAGAGTAGGATTGCATCTGCAAGACGCATAGTGAACGTGAGTATTGATTTTCTTGGCTTGACTGTTTCGCAATCGATCTGGCTTTGGTAGGTGACATTTTTTGTATGATGCTCATCGTATGATCTGCTTAAATAATATCCAACAAGGCGTGCATGTTCAGATGACGACTGAAGTGAGGAGAACCAATGCCGATTCGAGGCCGATAGGTTGAAGCCTTGATGCACCTATCAGACGATTAGAGTTAATCAAAGGCAAGAGACTCCGACGGCACCAACGGCCGGGAATAGGGCCCCCACATCGGTCAACCCGACTCCTGGAAGTCGACTCCGATATCTTTGGGGATGTTTCACGCGCTATCATGGGCTAAGGCGCGCCTTTAGATAAGAGGTTGGCTTATCTCTTTGAGCTAGACAAATGAGTCGCGAATATCTTCAAAGTATGGTGAATTCAATATCTACAAGGTCCTACAAGTATAAATATAAATGCATTCGGGCGGTAACATGTCAAGTCGTTTGATGGTAGTCAGAGACTCCAGGTGAAGCTTTTCGGGAAAGCTTGTTCAATAAACCCTATCAACATCTCTGTCTCCGAACTTCTGCATCATTAACTCTCGAGCCGTCGCACTCTCCTTGTTACGAACATCTGCGAGCAAATATGATGGAAACAAAGACAGAAGGCGACAGCGACAACAAGGTCGGAGGCCATGTTGCATCATCATCTCATCCGGAATCTATCGAAGCTACGGAAACTGCGGAACTCTCGACCAAGCGCGGCCTCTCTGCCCGACATGCACAATTCATCGCTCTTGGTGGAACCATCGGCACCGGCCTCTTCGTCGGTTCCGGCAGCACACTCGCCCGCGGCGGACCGGCCTTCCTCGTTGGCAGTTATGTCGTTATGTCGGCCCTGATCTACATGGTCTTGACTGCAGTCATTGAGATCTCGACGTACCTTCCGCTGCCTGGCGGCACCATGAACTACTACGGCAGCCGCTATGTCTCGCGAAGTCTCGGATTTATGATGGGATGGCTCTACTTCTACTCTTTTGCCATCTTCGTCCCCTTCGAGCTTACGGCATCAGCCTTGGTCATTGAGTACTGGAATCCTAATGTCAACAACGCCGTCTGGATCACGATCATGTTGGTAATGGTTGTCGGCCTCAACCTTCTACCTGTGAAGTTCTACGGTGAAACAGAGTTTTGGTTCGCTGGACTGAAAGTCCTGACCATTGTTGGTCTGTTGATCCTCTCAATCGTCCTATTCTTCGGCGGCGGTCCATCCCACGAGCGACTTTATTTCCGGTACTGGAAGGATCCCGGCGCTACTAAAGAGCTGATCGTTCAAGGAGACGCCGGCAGATTTGTGGCCGCCCTGTCAACTCTCCTCAGCAGCGTGCTTCCATTTACGTTTTCACCCGAAATGGTTGTGGTCACTGCCGGAGAAGTTCAGTCTCCTCGCAGAAACCTGCCAAAAATCGCCCGCAACTTCTTCTGGCGATTGATTGTCTTTTACATTGGCGGTACCATTGCCATCTCGGTCATCTGCCCGTCCAACGCACCGGCTCTTACTAGCGGAAGCTCTGGAGCCGCGGCTTCTCCCTGGGTTGTGGGAATCAAGAACGCGGGAATCAAGGGGCTCGATAGCGTAATCAACGCCGTTGTGGTTACGGCCGCCTGGTCCGCCGGCAACTCGTTCCTCTATCTGGCAAGCCGATCTCTGTACTCGATGGCCTGTGAAGGCAGCGCCCCGCGAATCTTCAAGCGGTGCACCAAGCAAGGAGTTCCCATCTACGCCGTCATAGCCAGCTCGCTATTCTCGCTTTTGGCTTACATGAACGTCAACTCCAACGCAGCAGACGTTTTCAACTGGCTGCTGAACCTCGTCAACACTGGAGGCTTCATCTCCTGGGTCTGCTGCGGAATCATCTACATCCGCTTCCGAAAGGCCTGCGACGTTCAGAATTTGCCGAAATCAGCTCTTGTCGCACGATCCTTTTTGCAGCCTGTTGGGTCATACATCTCGCTGGTGATGTTCGGACTTCTGTGTCTTCTTAACGGTTTTACTGTCTTCTTCCCATCTCGCTGGTCCGTGGCAGACTTTCTCTCCGCGTACATCGGACTACCTTTGTTTATCGTTATCTACTTTGTCCATCGATTTCTACATCGCGCTGATTCCTGGGCCATCTCCTCTCATGAGGTGGACCTCAAGACCGGACTCGCAGAGTTGGAGGCAGAGGAGTCATTGGAGGAGCCTAAAGAAGGGTTGCGAGCGCGGTTCAAGCGCCACGTAGGTCGATCTTAGGATGATGAAAGATGTATAGGGCGTCGCAGTCTCCTGCCCGACTCCAATAGGCGGCTAAGGCTAAGGCTGAGAGGCTTGATAGCGATAATGATTTAGATACTTGATAAGACACCGTGTAATTTGAGATAGAGAATGGACAATATTAGACAAGTTTCTCGGCTTCAGTGCATCAAATAGCCACCATCTTCCCATTCCAGTCCCTTTGACCTACCTTAGCCTCGCTACTCAACTGGACCGCCATGATGCAACAAGCCAAAGTCCTCATAGTGGGCTGCGGTTCTGTAGGAACCATGTGTGCGTTTGCTCTTCAGAAGTCCGGAGACGCCGAGGTCACTGCTATTCTCCGGTCCAATTATGATCTAGTCCAGACCCAAGGCTATCACATTCAGAGCATTGACCATGGGGAAATTGCTGGCTGGAAACCCCATCACAGTGAGTCGCTTATCAGTTCGATTCTGTCCTAGACGTAATGTACTGACGCGCCATAGTGGAAAGATATCTAGAAGACGCATTACAGCATGGCCCTTTCGACTTTGTCTTGGTTGCCATGAAAAACTTGCCTGATGTGTACTCGATCCCAGATATCATTGGTCCCGCGATTACACCCCAGACGTCAATCGTGCTCGTTCAGAACGGCATTGATATCGAGCCACCATTACTCGAAGCCTTTCCGAACAACATCTTACTCTCAGGCGTCCCGCTGATAGGGTGCGAACTCAACGGACGCGAGATGTTGCATAATGACCCAGATATTCTTCAGCTTGCGTACTGGCCAAATCCAAAGTTTACACCTGAGAACCAGAGCACCACGTGCGCCGCATTTGCTCGGATTTACAACAATGGTGGTGCCAAATGCAACATCCAGGCGGATATCTCTTGGTTCCGATGGCGAAAGCTCATCTGGAACGCTTCTTTCAACACTGTCTGTGCCATAACGAATTTGGACTCGGGCGCCATTCAGGATGCTGGTGGTCTGGACACCCTGATCCGCCCAGCCATGAGAGATGTTGTGGCAGTTGCCCGAGCAGCGGGGCATATCTTCTCCGATGAGATCTTGGATGACATGGTTGCATTCACGCCCAAAGAAGCCCGTTTGAAGCCAAGTATGCAGGTTGACGCGGTGAGGCAGAAGCCAATGGAGATCGAGGTGATCTTGGGAAATCCTATCAAAACCGCGAAGAAACTTGGCGTGCTGATTCCAACTTTGGAATTTCTCTACGGCCTTTTGCAAACCAAGCAGTGGAGTTTCTTGAATTTGGAGAAGTGAATCTTGTTTCCCATATCCCTTATGTGCTTATCGCAACCTATATACAAGAAAGAATTATGTTTTTTTCCATTCTTCATACCCTGCGTCATTAATAAAGACACGTAGGCCTCTTAGCGACGGATGTGCACTCTCATGTTGCCGTTACCCCAAGCGTTGTTCTGACCGAACACGAGACTGCCACGGGTGCAAGCGTCCATGATCTGGCCTGCCGACCGGGCAACATTGCCGCAGGGACTGGATGTGTCCCTGGGAGGGTTGCCACCGGTAGCAACACCAGCGATCTGAGCCTGACCACGGTGGCAGAAGACAGTGGCGCTGACGACAGCCTTGCACTGCACATTGGCACGGGCGGCGATGAAGTCGATACACCAGACGGCATCAGCAACCTATCGTAGGCAATCATTGTCAGTAGATGCCCCTCATGAAGATGCCATGAATCATCGTCGTGTGGTAGTCACAAAAGCCTCTCGTGGTAGGCTGGCGGAGGGATAGCTCAGAGTGACTTACAGAGGCGGCGTTATCGTTGTCATTGAATGTGCAGCTGACATCCTGCTGGCGCTTCTCAAGACCATCTAGGCAGTGACAAGTCAGCCATTGATAGTTCTAGTTGCAAGGCAACATTAAGACAAGAATGTATCACGAACCGCTTGAAGTCTGGTTGAATGCGAGAGCCATGGCCTCCTCGGGGGAAGGGTGTTGTCCGTTGGGGTTGGCAATGATATCCTCAGCCCACCTCTCGAAAGAGAAGGGAAGATTCTGCTCGGTCGCCTCGGCAGCAGTAGGCGCAGCGGCAATGAAGGGGACGAGGGCCAGAAGGCCGGCGGCGAGGACGAACTTAACCATTGTGTGAGTGAAAAGACGTTGTTATAGGTTGCTTCGAAGACGATGAGTTGAGGCGATGATCTGAAGAGAAAGGCACAGCTAGGTGTCCGCTACGGAGCTATTTATACGCGTTGACATGAGATTGTCAAGGTGTCTTAAGAACTCACTGAGGAGGATATTAGACGAGAGAATGTCACGCTTGCCACTTCTGAAAGTCTTCTGGGCATCTAGAGTCGCCCCGCTGTCGAAGGATGTAGAGTTTCCGAGGAAGACTGGCTCAGTTGCAAGGATTCAAATCCTCATGATGGGGCTGATGTTGCCTCAAATCAATTACTGGGTATTCGGTCTAACACATGCACGGCTTAGTCTCTTGGCCAGACGACTTGAATACAACCTCACTCTTACCATCAATGAGTCTGTAGCAGCAGGTCGAGAAGCATACATCCGCACAACAGAGTTCGGCGAAGTCTTGGACCTTGACGTTGGCAATTTCTCACTTTTGCCTAGGAGTCGAGTGGCTGCATGACCCTTCTCGTGTTCCCGATGTCTGCTGAGGCTTCATTTGTCGCAACTGACTCTTCACCTACCTACCATGAAGTCTTCGTTTCCTGCGCCGATGAAGCTGATGTCTGGTCGCCAAGCCTCGGCTCCCACCTGTGACCTGGGAGCCCCAGTATCGCAGTAAGATCAACAACTCATCGGCAACAACGGGTGAGAGTGGCTACCCTTGGCAACTTGCCATTGTCTTGAGCTTAGGGCTAGACTATAAGCAACACGAGAGACACACCCATGGTTACCAGAGCCGGAAAGAGCCCAATTGGACATCTCGCAATTGAACGCGAGGATCTAACTTAGGCACCCGCAATCCGAGATCTCGGCAGGTTTCCCATAGGCTCGCTCGGGTGGCATAAATTAAGTTGAATGGGTCTCGGCACGACCTAGTGGCGGTGTATCAGCACTTGTTGAAATAAGCAGGTCCAAGGCGGGGGAATTGGCTCTTAGAGGCATAGGGCGACAGGACCCGCTGAAACGGCCCGAAGCGTAATGTTTTTTGAAGTTTTCCCCCTGAGTCCTGACTGCGAGGAAACCTTCTCAGAACCTTCCAGTGCTCGACTTCATATCATCGCGAGGATAGTGGCTTATGACTACCAAGTCATGGGGCCGCCATTCCATCCTAGAGTCGTTTGCCACCGTCTTTGAAAGAAAGAAATATCACTTTCATCAACCCAAAGAACAACATATCGGAGACAACCACCCAGCATCATCGGGGCCAGGTAAAATCTTCAGAGTCAGAAAGCACGTAAAATAAAGCGGCCTATACTTCCTATGTTATTTCTTCACCTGAAGAACGCAGAAATTGGATAGGAGTGGTTTGACGCTGAACTTTGAGAGATAGCCCGTGACAGTCTGAAATTCTGGTACATTCGAACTTTTCTACTCTAGAAGGCCGCCCAACAGCCCATCTGCCGTTTCGCGGGTCTTCAAGGATTTCTTAAGCCAGCAATTCCCATTATACCCCCCTGTCGTGTTCAGACTTCGATTGAAAACTGCTGCAAGGCACACTCTGGATCCTGTATATCGATTGTATGACGCACAAGCCCTGAAGCAATCCAAGTACGAGCGGGCCACGATGACTACTATGTCATTCGTTTCCCCTGGGGCGTAATTCGTCCTGCAATGAACCGTAAACTTTGCCTCTACGTCGCATAATTGTATCGTTTCTGATCTGCCGTCTATGTTGGAACAGTGAGGGTTGAGTATCTCTATTTGTTGTGTTGGCACTTCTGATGAGTTTCCGGTGGTGGAGGACAAGGCAGACCTGGTCGTTGGTACTTAGTCTATTAGACGTCTCATCAATTGTCAACTTTATGATAAGGAAGTCATACTCTCTCGCTTTTGTAACAGCCATTGTGCCACCCACACCACCGCCAATAGCTGCTGTCACCACAAACACGACTAGCAAAACACTAAGAACGAACGTTGCGGGTCTTAATCCGAGGATTGCACGCTTCTTTGTCGGAGAGTCTGGGATTTTCGATTCTAAAACATGCTGAGTCGGATGATCGCATGTAAGAGCCACTTTCTTCTGGGTTTTGTCAGGAAAACAGGCTTCGGGGTCATCCGGAATGTAAGCCTCAGGGCCGGTAGAGTCCATCATGTGCTCTTGTACCCCAACACGAAGCAGGGCATGAAATCTCAGACTCTTTGTCATGAAAGAAGATAGGAGAAGATATTAGTGTCAATGGGAAATGCACCGACAGAAGAAATAGGAGGGGTGGGAAAGAGGAAACCAAAGACCAAATGTTGAGCTACTCATGAACTCAACGGTGTCAACGTCGGCTGGTTATTTACACAGTACTGACTGGTCTTCGATATCTAGAAAATCAAAAGCTAGAAATTTCTCGACTAATTTGTAGGTTTTGAAACATTGCTGAGCTTCAGAGAGGTCTGGTGATCGCTCATACAACCCGGACTGCTCTCATGTGTGACTTAGTGTACGACATGCCATCAAAGAGACTGAAGTCTGACACACTAACTGCAGCACATTGCCTTTTTGGGGAATCACAAGCACCTGAAGCTTGGAGAGAGTCTTGTACAAATCTGACTGTGCTAAGTGAAGCAGGCCGGCGAAGCTTGGATGCCATGTCTGTACTAAACAGTGTATCGTTACTTGTATGCATGGGCCGTCGATCAGTTGAACAGCGTGTCAGACCATTTTGCGTCAAAATCGTCTATCGAACCCAATGAAACTTAGCATTTGGATTACAATATGCACATCCTAGTACACCAATAATCTCGCGTCGCTTCCCGAGTCAAGAGTACAACGGGAGAGTGGAGGCAAGAAAAAAGACCGAATCCAGTGAATAACGACATGTTGTACCTCAAGCATTTGTTGAAAATAGAGAAGTCAACATCGCCCACTAGACATGAAACATTCAGCGTCCGATGTGGTGTGATGAAGCTCTATGACTCTAAGATGTGCTCAATCCTGGGAACATTGAGTTTAACGATGCGTCTATGTTGGTTTGCGTCAGCTGTTATCGACATCGAACTCTCGATCATGAAGCAAAGGAAGGCGAACACATGTGCGAATCTTGAACTCATAATGGAAGTCAATGATAAGTCGGGGACATAGGTAGTGGACAATACAGAAATCTCTTAGATGGGTAACAAGCCAGTTCATACCCATAGTCCGGCGAAAGCTTCATCCACATGCAATCCGGTGTAATTGAGCGAGAGTTAAGTTCACCTCTCAAGATGGACGCTGAGCGTGTGTCCAGACGAGTCGCTTGCTGGCGACTGATACATCATACCTGTAGGGATGCTTCATTGGCGATTCCCATGATTCTTTTCACGCTTCTAGAGACGGAGGAGGCCGAGTTAGTCCATGTTTGAGGCTCACGTGTGTGTAGCCGGAAGCGGGTTGGCTTGCAGATAGACGACTTGGTGAGGTGGACAGGAAGAGGGCCAAGATCGGCACGCTATGTCAGAGAAAACTTCGTAAGCAGATTGATACCTTATTGCAAGGTAGCAACCATCGCAATGAACGTCAAAATCTCAAAGTCTGGCGACTCCATCACATTCTCTTTTGCGCTATACAGCAGGACAAACCTTCATTTGTACGAGCGACAAGGAGGATCAGAACTGTTTGTAAATAAAGGCTATCGACTATATGGTATTAAGCTCAACAGGTGCCTGCTGCTTGTAAGCGGTAGACGTCCTTCGTTCTAGCTGAGTAAGGACTAATAGTCTACTCAGGTGTAGCGATCATAATATTTACAAGAGGAGTGGACCAAATGCTCAATCCAGGATGCCACCCACAGCAGAATTATCAGATATCGACCGAGGGCTAGTCGCATTCTTGAGCCAACAATTCCCATTGTTTACGCCAACATTACCCAGATCTGAGTTAAAGGTCGCCGCGACGCATGTTTTCGACCCTGAGTTGCGATTATAAGATACACAAGCTCTGAGGCAATCCAAGTACGAATAGACGACAATGGCAACAATGTCTAGAGCCCCTTTCGCCCCGAAGCTCATGCCACAATGCATAACGAATTTGGCATCAACATCAGAAAGCGCGATTGCCCTCGGTTCGCCCTCCATGGCGGGACAGTCAAGCTGGATTTTCCCTCGTGTTGGAACTACTATCGGGCTATCGCTGTTCGTCGATGCAGGGACCAGCGCGGTGACTGTGGTCGTGACAACTATAGTGGGCGATGCTACGGACGACTTTGCGTCGCTGAGAACCAATCATCAGAAACTTGTGGCGGAAGGGAATTGACATTGGATCATACTCTCTCGCTTTTTGGACCGCCAGTGAACCCCCAACGCCACCACCCACAGCGGCTATCACTATTACTGTAGCCAGCAAAACACTAAGAACAAATGTCGCCGGCCTCAGTCCGCAAATGGTACGTTCTTTCTTGACGGGAATTGATGAATAAGTTTCAGGTGTGGTCGGCGCATAGTACGATGATTCATGTTGCCGCGGTTGTTCGGGAACTACTTGTTTGTGGGAAATATGAGGAACGTACGTCTCGGGGCCGGAAGAGTCCATCATGTACTGGAACTTCTGTGTTCAGGATGAAGGAAAGGCATGGACTTTGTTTTCGAGAACGTCATCCAGGAAGAAGAGAAGAAGAGCAAGAAGAAACAGAAAAAGGGCACGTTAAGCAAACTGACGCCGCTCAAACAGCAAGGGATGGCTTATGTAGTATCTCACTCACTTACAAGGAGACACAGGATCTCGAAGGATCTTGCGGTCATTGGTACTCTCTCGACATTTGTGGAAGTCGGAGACCAGGGATCCAACCAGAGCTGCGCACATGTCTCACTGGGCTGTGAGGATCAAGCAGGCTGAAATGAGGCGCAGAGACTGTGCTACACACCATCATGGCATCTCGCGCATCTATTCGTCCGTTTTGCAGCATGTGAGACGGCTTGCATCAAGGTCATCAATCCGAACCAATCGTTCTGATTTGGGGGCCAAAAGTCCAACCTGAAGCTTACGCCCAGAGTTCGTTGGAATTAAACATAGTCAACCTCAGGGCTTGGCAGGCAGGGTTTATCTGATGATTCATAGGCCCCTTTCACCTGGCCAGAATTTATCTATTTACGATCTGCCTTGTGTAGAAAATCGATGTTGACTGATAGCACTTGGTGACATTTGACTGCACAAATGCCCTACCTGCCCCGCTATATTGTGCCTACATTCACAAATCGTCAAACCGTGCGCTTTCAAGCATGGCAACTTCGGGCTCACTATATTGAAGAAACTCCCCGTCTTTTTTTTTATAATAAATTCTTAATCCGATTTTCGAATCTAGAGAGGCTACCGAGAAACTATCTGTAACTTGCACGTGTTTCTAACAGTAAGTAGACGTTGAAAGTCGCTGGTGTGCCTCCGAAAGTCATGCAATGCAACGGAATTAGATCTTCCCCCAAAGTCCTCTTCAAAGCCAAGTTCACGAGAGAAAGTCTCCGCCTGACATGGCCAGTTCATATTCGTAATCCGGCTGGAACTCCAACCACATGGCCTCAGGTGTAGTCAAACGGTATGTATACTCAGCTTCGGCATCAGGACAAAGGTGCTTCTCGATCCCCGATGCTACAGCAGCCTCTGCAAGAAGCTGTATGCGACAGGAGTTTTCCATCAGGGTATACAGGAACGCCGCCTCATCGACGGTCTTCCCTGTCGTCAAGAGACCATGGTTCTTCAAGATGGCACACCTTTTGTTGCCTAGAGCTGTAGCTATCCTCTCTCCTTCCGAGGCTTCGAATGCAATGCCGCCAAACATGTCGTGAACGGCATGATCTTTGAAGAATGTGCACGCGTCTTGGTTGAGCATTTCCAGTGGTCTCCCGAAGGCTGACCATGCCTTGCCGTGGATGCTGTGGAAGTGGCATGCTGCATTGACGTCGGGTCGGGCTTCGTGAAGGGCGGAGTGGATGTTGAAACCTGCGTTGTTGATACATGCCTACAAGAACCGACGACGTTAGTTGGCTGATCCGCGAATTCCGGGACGGCAAAGGTACGATAATCTGGACTCACGTAATTTCCACCAATAATTTCTCCCTTCATATTGACATGGACCATGTCACTCGCTTTCATCAGACCAAAATGGCGAGCAAGACTAGAAACATCAAAACATGGTAAGAAAGCTGTGTTGTAGGTCGCTGAGAATGGTGCAACTTACGGGTTGATCCAAAAAGTTTCAGGGTCGACCGGGTCACGAATCGAGATGTGACCGGCTGTACCTTCAACATACCCCTTGCGAGCAATCACTCGAAAGGCACCGGCCATACGTTCAAGCATCCATTTGCGTTCTTGATACAGGTCTGGGAACTTGGGAATGCCCTTGATAGGAGCACTTCTGCCAATAGTTGCACCTGTTCCGTCAATAGTTGATAATCCATCCATGAATGTGTCTTCGACCCTTGGGCGGAGTGCTTGCATCTTGGTGCTCTGATGTTCTGTTACCGAGGCTCGCGTTTGGATGGATTGCAATACGGTGGTAGTTGTAGCCATTTTTAGTATGTCAGAGGCAAAAGAACTGACTCCTCTGGGTATAGAAAGTGTTATGGATTCAATTCTATACAATTTGACTGAGAAAACTTCAATCACGAGACAGCTGTGACACCGACTAGATCGATCCTGTTATCGTTCTGGGCTTCTTGTGAGAGCACCATGTCATGGGTTCCAACTACCATTACAACACCCCAGAATCCGAACCTAGGGAGGCGAACCGACCAGATGGAACCATGCAAGACATTTGCCATGCGTATCACTGCAAGAGATCCCGACTCAGTCCAGCTACGTGGAACTACTAGCCCGGGCAGCTGACAGCGACGCCTTATCTTGACGCCATCTTCAGCCCAAATTGGCTAAGGTGGATCCTGTTGGAGTCTCTTTCCCCATGACATTCTTGCGGGCGTTGTCTTATCGCAGCGCAATACAATAATTGACAACTTCGGAATTACTCAATACTCATCTGCTAATTGTCTCAGTTAATCTCGTATGTTTGATTCTTACCTTAGCTGCAGTTACGTGAGCGTAATAGCCTTGAGAAGTTAGTCGTGGTTAGACAACGCCATCGCAAGATATCATTTGTTCCTTCAGTCATGTTGAGAAGTCATCCCTATAGGGAAGGAAACGACGAAGACAATACCATCATAGAGGAGGGGCGATCTGTGCAGCGATTGTGCTTTGCATTCGAATACAAAGCGACGGCTTCCTCGAACACAATGCTTTCCTCGCCAGTCCATCTGCTGGGGCTGGCACGGCACATCGCATCGTCACCACGGTCACTTGGATATATTTAAACGTTTTATCTTTATACTCCATCGTTCATCTACATTATGTCTACAGTATCCATCACGCCTACAGCTGCTTCAACTCAAGGCCCTTGGGGCCGTGGCCTTGGACTCTGCTCCGGACAACGGGAACCCGACTATGATCTCTTGCAGCCCTTCGAAACCATGCCAGAGGAGATATCTGGTTCAACCGTATGGGTAAAGGAGGAGCTGAGTCAAAACACTGGGCGCTGGCTTTATCATTTTACCGAAGATCAGGTCAAACACGTCATTGCTGCCGTCCGCGATATCGAAAACCGAGGCTTTCAACTCTCTGAAGTCGACAAGTCAACCTTCGAGCTCCCCGGCCCCTTTAAGGACTTTCTATATAGAATTCGAGACCAACTGATCAACGGCATCGGCTTCGTCGTGCTACGTGGTCTTCCCGTCGAATCTTGGACAACCCGACAAGCCTCGATCGCGTACCTAGGCATCGGTTCCTACATCGGCCGCCGATTGAGCCAAAATCGTCAGGGACACATGCTCGGACATATCAAAGACCTTGCTGAAGGCAAAGAAGTCAACGGGGAAGGCAGAATCTACCGTACGCAGAAAGCTCAGACGTATCACACGGATGAAAGCGACATCGTGGGTCTGCTTTGCCTTCACCAAGCGATGGAAGGCGGAGAGTCACAGGTGGTCTCCAGCCACAGCATCTACAACACTCTCAGACGAGAAAGACCAGATGTGCTACGCCAATTATGCCTGCCACACTGGTTCTATGATAGAAAGGGGGAGACGAGCGAGGGAGAAAAGGGGTGGATGCGTACTCCGGGCTATTACTATTACGAGCAGAAGCTCAGCATGAAGTGGGACTCTTACTATGTCGGAGCGCTACAACGCTTCTGGGACGCTGGGCTTCTTCCACAGTACACGGATGCCCAGCGTGAGGCGATCCAGGTGATGGAGGAGATGTGCCGCCGACTATCGTTGGAAATGACGCTGCAGCAGGGCGATATCCAATTTGTCGCCAACACTCATAACCTTCATGCGCGATCTGCGTACAAGGATGATAACGATGTCACGAAGAAACGCTGGTTACAGAGACTTTGGCTTGCTACCTCAGAAGAGGAGGGCGGATGGCCATTGCCGTTTGCTGATAGTCGGTATGCTAAAAGAGGGGGTGTTCAAGTTAACGATACTCCTGAGTCGTATCCAACAGAGGCTGAGTAGGCAATAGCTACGCGTATTCTAGTTCTAAAGGACTAGAGAGTGAAGCTCTTCAGCAATAAAATATCTGTGAAGTCCGGTATTGGAAGAGAAAATTGTGTATGATATGTCATAAGAATAAGATTCATTATCATAGGTTCTTTAATCTTCACGGCGCTCCTTTGCGCGGTATTTATTCTCTTCTCGGAATCAGGCGACACCTTGCCTCGTCGTAGTCTAATCCGGATGAGGTGATCGCGATCATTAGTCACCTAGCTTGCAACAAGGTTCAAGGACCGCACTGTGTTCGGAACACAAATTCGCGCAAACCTTCACCTTGAACACGTACCTAAACAGTGCTTAGCGGGGTCAGCTTTCCGTGATAACACCGTATCCATCAAGAGGCCCTGCTTATCTCGACGCGGTCCGAGAAAGGTGTGGTGTCTTGCCGCAAATTCCCGGTATGCCATCTGGGCCATGCCCAACTTCTCCTCACATTCAATCAAAATCTCCGAGTGCTGACCTTGCATTCACGGGTGGGCATTACCCCGGAATTTCCACCGCAGGCGCCTTGATGAGGAGCCCGTCCGAGCCAGCCACCGGCGATCCGCTCCCGAGCATGACCCCACGATGCCGCCGCCTAAATCGGGACAGCGGTCGATGACCTTTACCGGGTACGTTTTGGAGAATGTCTCGGACCACTTTGACAGGGGTGTGGACTGACTTGTGCGCGATTCATTGGGCGACAACAGGTGCTGGACCTGCAAGAGGCGCAAGGTGAAGTGTGATGAGAGGTCTTCTGGTTGTGGGAACTGCGAGAAGATGAAGATCCCTTGCGAAGGCTACGGCATTAAGCTTCAGTGGATCAACGTTTCGAACCCATTTCTTGAGCAGGAGAAGCCTGGCAGTAGCAGTAATGGCAGAGGGAGAATACGGATCGGTAGGATTCTCATCCCATTACTTACCCTTTCTGCCCAGATGTCCTGGTATTAGTGGCTGATGCACATTTGGGGCCCTTTACAGGCCGTGATACAGGGCCAGAATATCAGATGAGAGACATTGACTCCTTCTTGGCATCCCTTGAAGAAGCACCAAACTCAAAGGGCATCATACAAGAAGGCCCTTTCTCTCTTTTTCAAGCCCATGACGGTAGTCACGAATCTGGCCAGAGTCACGACTTAGGAAGTCCCGATATTGCAGCCTCGGACTGCTCATTGGTCACCAATGCTCATCGCAGCTCAGAATCAACACGGTCCCAGAAGGACGCAACGACCTCACCTATCTACACTGACTGCGCAAGCTCAAGTCCCTCATTCTCGACAGCACGAGAGGACGGATCTCCAAATCAGATTGGGCTCGATGTGGAGCTCATCAGAACCTCGGAGGATGACCATGCCACACCAGAATTCCAGCTCCAGGAAGAGTTCAACTCTTCGCTGGGCGACATTGCAGACCTATTAGAAGACTCAGTCGAGTTGTTGCCGATGCAGCCGCAAAATAACATTTCATCCATGAGACTACCGAGACGAATATCTACCAGCATATCAGGCGACGCAGTCATCGATAGACTTATGCATCACTACGTGGAGAACATCGCGAGCCTACTCCAGCCCATTCCACATCCCCAGAATCCTTATCGAAAGCTCTATGTCCCGGCAGCTCTCCAGGCAATATCGGAATGGCTGCCGAAAGCAAAAATGGCCACACCTACCGTTTCTTCAGTCATTTTTCACTCTCTGATAGCATCATCTGCTTTTCATCTCGGCAATTGTGGTCCCGAGCAGGCGAAATACCTTGCCCTCGGGTCACAGCATCGCCAAGTAGCGCTGCATTGCTTACAGTCCGCCATCAACCCCGCCATGGCAACATCGGAATACAAGCTTCTCATGGTGGCCATGTTATCAATGGTGACCATTAGCAACGTGAGTTCCTTATCCCATTCCCCAAATGTGATGTGTGAAGTATGCTGAGCTTTATCACACAGTTCACGACAGGCAGTGATGCCGACTTTGTGGTCCACCTTCAAGGCACAAAACAGCTGCGGAAAACGCGAAGGCGATGGAAAGTCATCAGCAGAGCCACGCGGCAACTGAATGAAATTAGCGACTTTCTCTACCTCCTCACTCGCACAGTCTCATTCTCCTTCACGCCAGGGCCTTGGCCATCAGAGGGTGCAGAGGATATAGACGAACCAATCGCCTCGCAGGCAGAGCCCGACAGCTGCTTCGGGTATATGTACGGGATCACACCCGCCATCGCTGTGGATATCGAGGAGACCTGCCGACTGGCGGAGTATCTCCTCTGGTACGATGGCACCGAAGAGCCCATCCCAGAGGGACTGCTCGAGGCCTGCGAAAGCCTTGGCGACCGATTATGCAACTGGTCTTTAGACCTCGAAGACGTCCGCCAAGCAATGAACCAGGACGCCGAAACCCTGGAAATCTTTCAACACCACGCTGATGCGTGGCACTTGGCTGCAGTCATTTACTACCACCGACGCATCCAAAAATGTCACAGTGAAAACCACCAGCAGCTCCTCGCCGAAATCGCCGAACACATGCACGCCGTCGAGGACATCAAAACGCGGTCGAAGTCCACAAAGACCAACTTCATGGCGCCCATAACGTGGCCTGCCTTTGTAGCTTCGTGCGACGCCAGCGATCGCGGACCGTGGGAGCACTGGTGGGAGAGGATCAAGTGCTACCGGGTCGCCAACAGCCGGACGCAGTGGAAGGTGGTTCAGCGTTTGTGGGAGAGACGGGATGAACTAGAGCAAGCGGGCGTTGATACGTTTGATTGGATACAGGCGTTTAAAGACTTTGGGATTGCTTTGTTTCCAATCTGATTGTTAGATTATGCTGGCGCAAGGCATGGGATAGGGATTATTGGCGCTTTGATGATGCTCCTTTTGACTTCTGAACTCTGTATATCAAGTTGAGATTGATTCACCTCTGCTACTAGTTGCAACTCGCTAGTTTGATAGCCCGACTTCGACCTACCTAGTCTCACCAGCTCTTCTCCCATCCTCTCTCGGAGCCCAGATCTTGAGCCCGTTGAGCTACCCCAATGCAAGTCAACGGAATGCAGTGCCGTTGCCGCACGCAGCTAAGTGAGGAGAGCTTCAGGCCGCGGGCCGAGCATCGTCCTCCTCCCCCGCATTCTCCAAGTGACATCACGATCCCAACCAAGACAAACCAAGACGAACCAAGCAAACAATCCGTCTTTTCTCCGCTCCGCCGATCCCTCAACACATTGATCTACTGCAATCAAGGCAAATGCTACCCAATCCCAGAACTTCCCTCACATCACCACGTGGGTCCGTTGTCAGTGCGGCCAACGTTCCGCTCACCTTGGTCGAAATAAGCAACGCGGGGTAGGTAGACTCCCGCCCTCGGGCATGGATATTTGACCTTGCGGACGTTTTCCGGAACGGAGAGTAGCCGCACCCCCTCCTCTCCATTGGATGTTTCAATCTGCCGAGCTTCTTCGCCGATGGGGCTTACACTCACACGTACCCCAGCCGCTGACGACGGGAACCTTTGGCAACCTGTTTGGGTTGTGTGGGCTGCGTCCGAACCACGGAGAGATACCCGAAGGTTTATATTCAGGTCATAGGGCGCGAAAATGGAGGTTGATCGCACTCGTTCCATGTGATTGTGATCGTGATTGCACTCGACCAACTTTCAACCTTCATCGACTTGCGGAGCCCGAAGCTCTAGTGAATGTTGGCACCCTCCGACACCTAGCTCAAGGCCAACACAGAAGGCGATCCAGCATTGCCACGATGGACTCCTCGTACGCTTCGCGCCACGAGAAACTTGAAATCTCAGAGCTCGAAAATGGAGAGCGTGAGCCTGTTACGAAGAAGGGGGAGATTGAGCGGATCGATGCAATAGCTACGGCGCAAGGCACAACGCTAGCTTCCTTTGCGCATCTGGATGAAAAGAAGATCCTGCGAAAGGTGAGGGTTTCATTCCCATTACCATCGTCAATGCATGGAGACTGACTGTTGAACTTCCAGATGGACATTCGACTCATCCCGATGCTGGCTTTACTCTACCTACTGTCATTCCTGGATCGCAAGTTTCCATCCTTCCTTTCCTTTTGAGACTTATGACTGACAGCCCGGCCAGGTGGAAACATCGGAAACGCCAAGATCGAAGGCCTCCAGGAAGATTTGGGAATGACGGCCGATCAATACAACTGGTGCCTCACCGTCTTCTTCTTCACCTACGCCGCGTTCGAGGTCCCGAGCAACCTGCTGCTGAAGAAGCTCCGCCCGAGCGTGTGGCTGCCGACCATCATGGTCGCGTGGGGCCTCGTCATGACCTTGATGGGCATCGTGAAGAACTACCACGGCCTCTTGATAGCTCGCATCTTTCTCGGAGTGACGGAGGCCGGGCTGTTTCCCGGTGTCGCAGTAAGCATCCTCTATGTTACATGTTACTATCAATTATCATTTCGGTCGGCGCGAGTGACAGTGTTAGCTGATATATGATTAGTACTACTTGACGATGTGGTACTGCCGCCACGAAATCCAGCTTCGCCAAGCCATGTTCTTCTCGGCGGCTTCCATCGCTGGTGCCTTTAGCGGTCTCCTCGCGTTCGCGATTTCCAAGATGGACGGCATCGGTGGGCTGGAAGGATGGCGCTGGATCTTCATCCTCGAGGGTATCGTGACCGTCCTCGTTGCCGTCATGGCGTTCTTTGCACTCCACGACTTCCCTGAGACGGCCAAGTTCTTGACTGAGGAGGAGCGAGCGTTTATTGTCTTCCGACTGAAATACCAGGGCCAGGTGCAGGGCAAGCAGGAGAACCGCGTGCAAGTTGCCGAAGCGGAGGAGTTTAAGTGGAAATACGTCGTGGACGCGTTTACCGATTGGCAGATTTGGATCAACATCTTTGTGTACTGGGGTGTAAGGCTTTCTTTGACTACTATCACCGATGGATGGATGCTGACATTGGGTACTAGATTGTATGCCCGCTCTACGGAATCAGCCTATTCCTCCCGACCATCATCCGAA